CGTGAACTACTCCAGGTTGGATCTAACATACATGATAAATTCAACTGCTTGGAGCTTACCTCTGGCTTTCAGGCCGAAGAAGATGCCGAGGACCGAACACGCCTCCTTGAAGGGATGCAGCAGGACATGCTGAGGAGTGTCAGATGCTGATCAACCTGAAACACGAAAAGCGATGAACCAAAAAGCCCTTGCACTCAGTTTGGTCCCGGCAGTCGCAACCCCGATGCTTCAACCTTCCGCGCGGTCTCCCCAGATCAACCAGACGTGGTCAACACCCTCTCCTTGCTGATAGTGTGGTGCCTAGCATTTCCACTGGGAATGCACTTTCCGCCAGCACCGATGCCAACGAGATGCCCAGGTAGAGCACCGTGCCGGCTATTACAGCTCTCCGCCAACAAATTGACAAACCTGGTCTGGCCCACACACCTGGTTCCAAATTGCGGCCTGGTTTCAGGAGCAGCTCCAAAGCGAATCCGGTTGGAAACTCTTTGAGTTTGCTGGATACCTTGCAAGTTGATGCTGCCAACCGGGAGAAGTTCGTCAACCTCCTGATCCGTGGCCAACGGGACCGACCGCATTTGGACACCGCTTTGGGCCTCACGATAAACTCTGAAGATCATTGATTATCACCCGGCAAGCCACCGTACCAGGCGACCTCCCAATCCCCCATCAGCGTCCGTGTTGGTCCAATACAGCAACCGGGCAGCTGCACAGCTCAGTCTCCTTCCTAGGTGCCACATACAAGAGAACCTGTGACGTTACCAAAGTAAAGCTCAATCTACTTGGTCGCGATTTGCTCGATAACCTTGGAGTGGCCAACCTGTCTCTTTGGGCCAACTGCAGCGCGGTACGATTTCCGTCAATATCAACGGACCAACCCGATGACATTACCAGACAGATTGCAACCATGTTTCAGGGTGGCATTGGAGTCTGTACTAGCACGCAGGCCGTGTTACAACTTGCGCCCGGCGCTCAACCAGTGTTTCGTCCCAAAAGATCTAACCCATATGCAGCTCTACATTTGTTCAATGCAGAATTCAAACGATTGATGGATACTGGAGTCCTGGTACGTGTGCCTTATTCCGCTTAGGCAGCCCCAATCGTTGTGTTCAAGTAACCTTATAAATCACACTGCCTTTGTGCCTATTAATCAACTGGTCTAAATGCCTCACTTGAACAGGCCTGCTACCTACTGCCAGTCCGTGAAGATCTCTTCAATTGCTCAACGACCGTAGTGCTTAGCCAAGGTCGACCTGGCAGACGTCTACCTAAATTTTGAGGTCGCTCCCGTGTCGCAGCCCTGCGGTCGACCAACACACACCGCGTTCTCCTCCAGTACACCAGGCTACGGTTTAAAGTCAAGATCGCACCGGCCTTTTCCAGCCGAAGATGCACGCCATGGTCTCTGGCATTCGAGGCACGGCTGCGTAATTGGGTGCTCTCCCCGTCGTTGATCTCTCTCCAGAAGACCTTGGAGAGCGCCTGGTCGCGAAACCATTTGTATCCTGTCCAGGAGTACGGATTTTGCTTGCGATCAGAGAAAAGCCAGTTCTACCTTCGGTCGATTAAGCACCTTTCGGTTTCGATGCCAATGGCCGTCAGCCTGATGCCGAAAATGTCAGAGCCATTCAACGGTTGCCAGCCCAGGAAAATGTTCCACAGTTGCGGTCCTTCTTTGGCTTTATTAACTACTACAGAGCCTTCCTACCATCGTTACACGACGTAAGAGCCCAGATCAATCGGTTGTGGCAGAATGACGTCTTTCTCATTGGTTCCCTACATATGAGAAGGTTTAGGTGCGCCTGAAATACATGCTGAGATCTAACTTGCTATTGACTCACCACGACCCCAACTTTGTCAATGGGGGCGTCGCTGATGCATCCAACTACGAAATTGGATCTGTTCTCTTCCAGCGCTTCCCAGATGGTTCGGAAAAAGCCGTCATGCCAGTCTCAAGCACGTTGAAGTGGGCAGGAATGAATTGCCGTCAGGTCGAAAAAGAGGCCCTGGACTTCGGCTTTGCCCTCAAGAAGTTCCACTAACTTTGTATGGTCGACACTTCACCTTGTTGACCGATCAAAAGCCGCTGCTATCAAATTTCGGTTCTAAGAACGGTCTCCCAGCTTTCACAACCAGCTGACTTCAGCCATGGGCCGTCATGCCACTTGGTTACGATTCCGAACCCCGCTTCTGCCGAAAGCAAGATTATGGTCAAGCTGACGGTTCTTCTGCCTCATTACAAAGCACGCTACAGAGGAAGACACGGTGACGGCTGTTGTTGCCGTCGAGGAAGAGGTTCGTCACCAGCTCTTGGGTGCAAACCTCAGTCACCCTGTTACTGCCGCCGACATGCGTCGCGCAACTATGCAAGACACGCCCTCCGCCAAGCTGTCACTTGCGTTCACACACGTTGGCCCAGCAACGGTCTATCTGGAGAACTCAGGCAGATGTTCCAGCTCCGTGACTCTCTTTTCACGGTATAAATAAATAAATAAATGGGTATATTTATAGACTAGCTAGATGTTGCGCCCCTAAGGGTTCAGATCAGTAGTTACATTAATACTATGCTCTTGCGTGGGAGTAAGCAAAGTGTGAGTATATGTTCGTTGATGCCAATTACGACTGCATTGGCTTCGTCCGGTGTGCAGCTGATATGGTTAAACGCGTCCACCTTGAAATTCTTCTGGCTCCGTTAAACGATATGGAGCTGCTTGATATTGTTTGTTGTGAAATTTGCGCACAGCCGTAGTCGTGCAGGTTTTCTTTGGAATCTGTATCTAATTTACCACCAGCAATAAAAGTTTTGGCTTATTTCGGTCCACTCAGTCGTCACATTTTGGGTGCGCACATAGAAAGTAATAAAAGCGGCGCAATTATATGAAACATAAAGGGAAAAATAACTTCTGGAAATGCAACTAGAAATGAAACGTCTATGTTAAGTGATATACTATGGCAGCATACTTCACTGGCAAAATACAAAAGAAACAAAATAGCTAACCAAAATTGGTTGCGCTAAAAGTTGCTAGCTGGCGCCAAATTTCAACCTGAGTAAAACTTGGAACAAATGGAACACCTATTTTAAGGCTAGAATATTGCGAAATGTATAGCAAACACAAGCTGTTTAGAACAAGTTTTCCTCGGTGAATACGTTAAAAGTAAAAGCACTGCGAACCCACAGTAGTTCACGAGTTATTCGCAATTGAATGGCGATCTGCGAATAACGCCATTATTTTTTCGTTAAATATGACTATCTGATTTGGCAACAGACGTCAAAAAAGTGTAAAAAGTGGCGAAGCGGTATAAGCTCTAAATAGGCATAGCTATCTAGAAATGCTCTATATAGCCCGTAATACCACGCAACGACTAAGTACGACGTAGTTGGCCGAAAAACAAACTTTACAGGCATACTTAGCAAATAAGCAATTGTTTCGCGAGAATATCAGGAATCCAGTAAGGAATGTTAGGCAAGGGACTTCAGGACAACTAATAATTAACCCACGGTCAGTAGGTTATTGTGTACCATTTGTAGTGGATACTCCCTGGTAGCACATGTCCAGCTCCTGTCCAGTTTAGCATCCTAAACGTTCCTATGAGAGCATTAGGCTAAACTGGACAGGAACTACTACCGTGAGACGGCTAAAAAGGGATTTTGTCCAGTTTACGGAGGGCCAATGAAAATGATGCTAGCGTTGACCAATAGAAAATCACCACTATGCGTGAAAATCCGGTAGGTCCAGATCCCGTCATTGCCTACCCTGGGTATCCGAATACGGACATCACACTACTACGCACTTAGCAGCTAACTAATATATGGACGGTTCGGAGCTAACGTTCACCCAGTACCTGTTGCCGTAGTTGCTGGACGTGGGAACCCACCTAGGCGGCGCTTCAAGCTGTTGGTCAGGAAACGAAATGGATCTTACCGCGCACCTGAGAACATCACAAGGCGACAGAAAATGAAAACCGGGGTATAAGAATGCTATATGTACATGAAGGGGTGTAGTACAAAGATCGTTAGTATCAGAAAGCGGCATTGTCCATATGGTTAATCCGCTTCAGCGAGTGTCAAGGTAGGAGGCTAAAGTTGTGCATAAGGAAGCAGGGGACTCACCTCATTCGCACTGCATACTTTACTTCGCTCAACAGGCGGTCTCTTGTGCCGTGCGGAATGCAACCACGTTTTGATGTGGCGCGTAATGTCAGCATCGGAGGCTGCATCACCCATGCGTTGCCGAATCATGCCTTGATAGTGTTTATGGATTACTGTATGTCAACCTACCTTGTACAAGGCCGTTCATATTTGTTCGCCTGAATGCAAACAAACCTCCTGCGCCGGAGTAATTCATCTCCGCGGCAACTGATCTTATCATTAGCCGCTCCATAGTACCCCGGACGACGATTTGCACGTTAGCACCGTGCACAGCACACAAATGGTTGACCTGAAAGTCGTGGAATAATAAGACTAACTTACGAATCTGTTTTTGAAATCTTGGTCCTTCAGCCGTTCATCATATCTCTTAAGCTCACTGAGAGAGATGAATGGCAGAGAAAGTCCCGGTGCAACACTTTGGGACTGTCGTTGCAGCATCTGCAACATTGCTTCGGACATGCGGCGATGGCCGACCAGTTCTGATCGCATGAGACATAACTCATCTAAAAATAAAGCTGAGTGCAATGCAATGCATTTGTGACGTGTTACATTTGATGGCCTTCAGTTCCTGCAGCACCTCCAGATTGCATGGTGCAACGTCAGCAACAACAGCGGGTGCGATTACTGTTTAATAGGGGCCGTATGAACGCGATACTTACGGTTGCTTGTTGATGGCCCTGGACGTGGTGGACTAATGCCACTGAAGAGAGACGTGGGCGCACGTGCGTATGTTGCTGCAGCAGGCCTTTTAGGTTTGGTGGGACGCGCGGCATCTTCGTCATCGGAGCTAGAACGGACGGGCCGGCGTCTAAGGGGAAATAAAAACACCATACTCACATTGCACGCTTAGCTGGAAGGCCCATCGGAATTGTATCGTCTGTGGATGGCAGCATGCCGCGCTCTGATTGACGTTCCATTTCTCGGGCATGCTGGAAGCTAACTAACGAGGTGGGTTAATATAACAAAGACTTACTCGTGCTAACGATGATGGACACTGCAGTGCTGGCCACATCGACATCGGGCGCAGTGTGGTTTTTCACCGCTGCATAGTAGTGCGTACCCCGCACGGAAGGTATTTGGGCGTACGCACCTTCTTCTCTAAGCCATGTATTACTGACAATAGTTATCAACGCCTCGGAGTCAAGGAGTTTGACAACGCTGTATCCTTGAAAAGCCATCGGTGCTGAAAAAGAAAGACGTTAATAGTTAGAGTGTATAACTGTGTGGCATAGGGTAAATTACAAGGAAATCGTTCAAGGGAAAAGCGATACACTTGAATAGAATATGACAGGCTGAGAAGCTACATACCTCTGTTGACAATTGCGATGCACGGAAGATGTACGCCGTTGAGGAATCCATGCTATGCGTGAACAGACTACGGAGATTCATAAATTCCCGGCATTGCACGACCATGTTCCCAGACACATTCACAGACACATCTGTCAGCACTCTGGGTTTGCCATCGATGATGACCACGTTATCCGGCTTCACTGTGGAAAACAAAGTGCCTTGGAAACGAAACGCTTTTTGACCCTTATATGTGCACATCTCTACATTCCCACCAGTGCTTGCGCTGCCGAAAGTAGGAGGAAGCTGCTCCTCTTCCGACGTACGCCGCATGATTTGAGCAACCGGACGCGGGGAATTGTGAATCAAGCGCTTGATGGAAAACAAGTGAGACTCAAAGGGAAATGCTGGGAAGCTGTTTAAAGTCTCTATCTTCTGTACTTCAGGGGGCAGATGAACCAGTGAGTGCACGTTACACGTCATCTCACTGGGACCATAAAGATGGAAGTAATCATGTAAAATACATGAAGTAAAGGAATAAGGAACTGGAATAAGGCAGTGTGAAGGTGAGGGTGGCACACAATATAAATAGTGAATGAGAGATCGAGAAAGTTATGATAGAAATCCTCAGGCAATACCCCGACTAAACACGCTGGTCCGGCGTAGAGCAAAAACTGACGCAACTCAGTTGCCTTCCAAGATCGGTATTCATCCATTGATCGAAGCTTACGTGGAAAGTCCGATGTCCAAGAAGGTCCGAAGTCTTGCAACCGTTCGTTTGCTAAAATCAAGCGCTCCCCGCGCAGTCGAAATCCGCTGTCCACGGGGGAAGTGAGCCAGCTTTTTATCAATCTGCGCGTTACACCCAAACATACTGAATGCATATAGTCAATTGGAAAGTCCTCAACCAAATCCACATTCAAAGCAGCAAAAGGCGACGGTTGGTTGATATTCCTTCGAACGGATGCATTCGTCCGCACTTTGCTATCCGTAAGTGGGTATGTCACCTTGCGGCTCATATACTCACCACGTTGGGTGCATTTGTCACAGCTGTTATAACCCGAGTGTTCTTTCGTTCGTTTCACATAAGCGCGTGCAGGGGTATCACAGATAACGGCTTTCAGGTAGAATAATCCTTCGCTTTGCAAAGAAAGGATCTCATCAATCGTGTCGTGCAACTAATCTTCCACGTCATTCGGTTTTGAGGTCCCACCATAAACACCAACAATGAATGGTTTGTGAACACTGGCTTTATGACACGACACAAGATAGGCCATATATGCATCTTGGATGCATTAAAAGGTTTAAATCCGTCAATATGCAACTGATAGTCAACAGTGTCATCAGCGGCGAGCGAAAGAGCAGACCATACACGGTGTAAACCTCTCAGCAGACCTACGTGACCGTAAGTGCCCGGTGCAACAACGCGCATGCGGGAGTTCCGTGGGGTGCGCATCAGCGTCCGGTAATCCTTTGGCAAAAATGGCATCCACGGTTGCACAAGCCCCAACAGTGGACGAACAAATGATGCCGGTACCTGAGATTTCGCAATCAATTTTCTCAAGTTATGGACCACTTCATCGGGGTCCCTGTCATCTTCACAGCAGTTGGTAACGTTAGTAGATGGCCGAACTGTGTAAGCACTGATATTTAATATATGTTAAAGATTCGCTTACCCTTTTGTCGTTTAACTGCTGACAACAGAAGCACTTCTTCGTAGCTGAATCCGGATGCCATTGTTTTTGCTGCACGGTAAATGTTGCTACGAGACGGGAACTGTGCAGTTAATTGATAACTTTGTTGACGTGACATGCTGAAAATGAACACATATGTATTACAGAATCTATAACAGGAAAACCTGATAGGTGCGCCTGCGGAAACGCAATTTCAAAGGAGCTACACAATAGCGCAAAACCAGGCGGAAACAGCGACCAAGGTTACGAAACCGAAACTGGTCAAATAAAACGACCTGCCGATGCATTTAAACCACTGTGGTTATGGTCAAATAACATCAAACATAATGCACACCAACTATTAATTTATTAACGAATGTCAAACTAAATGCATTTAGCTGCCAGTAATGCATTAATACCTGAACTGGACATCTGTCCAGTTTCTGTCCAGTTTGCTATGTTTACTGTTACGTTTGTGCTACCAGGGCTAAGCCACGTAAACCACTAGGGATATAGAGTTGAGTATTTTTTAAGCCTGTTAGTGATTTCGAAGTTTACAGCCAGGGTGTATGAGCTAGGTCTACCTGAATAATACAGGAGCCCTCTAGGATCATTTGACACATATTGGCCTGAAAAATGCACACGTTTCTAATATAAATATTGCACGTTTTATCTTGCAGAGCTGACTTTCTATATTCATAAGGCTATGTCTCCAACATCAGTGAGTTAGAGGAGCCTGTCATTAATAATAAAGAATGAGTATCGGAAAATTAGCAAAATGCTTCGGAGCGTGAAATGCATTTGGGTTTGCGTTGGTGAGGCATTACCAACTCTACTTCTGGGAGTTGAGCTTGCTCAAACATGAGGGAATATCATGCCTTACGTGTTGATGCACACTATTGTGCGGCTTTTTGGTTAATTTCGAGCTATTTCTCTCCAAGTTTAAGTTCTGTAGCAAGTGAGAGCGGTATGCATACAGGTGGCAATGTTAACTAGTACCGTAATGTTGCACCAGCTAGTTCCTTGATGGTTTTCCTGGCTAGAGCTGTTCTAGCACCCTAAGCAAAGGTAAATCAAGAATAAGATAGTAAGTAACAAAAGCAAGTGGGAGCTGGTTGTTCACTCACCAGTGCGCATAACGTATGGAAGCCTTTGGAGCCAGGTAAAAGATAAATAACGCACGAGCAGCCGAGATAAGGCGAATTGGTGGTCGACATTTTCTGGATGTTCAGCCAGCTGGTGTGACAGAGGCCTCTCTGTCGCTGGTTAGCTGTCGTGCCAGTGAATTTAGAAGGTCGCCTGTGTAGCAGTCTGGAGATTCCCCGGTTTGCCTGTGTAAAATTCTAACTAAAATTATTTCATTGTACACCTAGGCAACCGGTGTGGTCTGTTGAACTGATTGCTGAGTTCGAATGCTTGACTTGCGCATCGCCATTTTTGCTTGGCGCTCGTTTCGGTTGCAACCCGCGACTGCCCTGTGTGCTGTGCATGCTCCGTTCCCATGGCTAGAGCGTCAAGGCTGTCGTTCCTTTATAGCTAGATAACAGGGAATCTTTTACTGTACCAGTAAAAGTTTCCCTGCAACTAGAGCTGTCTTTTTGAATCGCTTTTCGGGCTGCGGGTATAGGATATATAGCGCGTAGATCATGCGCTATATATCCGGTACGCGACTAGACGGCAAAGCAAAAGCAGTGGGTAGAAGACACAAAAGTAAACTAGGGAAGAAGTTTATTGGACGGGAGGAGCGTTAGCTAGTGCTAAAAATAGGGCACCCGAAGAGAGCTAGCTAGGGAAAATGTCGTTGGCGTCGCGAGCGTAGACGGAGAGTCGTTCGCAGTCGAGTCGCGCGCCAAAGGCGGAGATCGTTTTCGTGTTTCCATCAAACGGGAACAACGTTCCAACAGGCAAACCGAATTGTTCCCTAATACATAAGAAAACTATAACTAGAATATTTTAGGATAGTTTACACAGTCATACGGGGGAATTTCCAGGTAGCTACAGATACTCCATGAACTGGCTGCCCAGACTCCGGAACAATCCCAACGCCGGATATTTCGAACTTCTCTCCAGGGAGCTCGTTCCATTCACTTTTCATATTTTGAGGTTTATTTTTGCTTACGGTAGCCTATTTTTTGCGTCATTTTTTGAGCCATGAAACCTGTAGACCCTAAGGTAGAGTCTCTCTGTGCCACCTTTCTAGGACATGGATCCTCTTCTGTGGTTCGCTAATCTTGAGGCGGAGGTTTACAACCACAGAATAACTTCCGACTACGCGAGGTATAGCAAGCTTCTGTCCTATCCCCCAAGGAGATATCAATGCAGGTTCTTGACGTTATCATTTCTCAGACCGAAAACCGCTAAGAGGCTCTCAAGGAGGCCACGATTAAGCGTGTTATGTCCTCTGAGAAAGTTGGCCTGCAGCAGCTTTTCAGGGATTCGCAGCTGGGCGACAAACTGCCCTCAACCCTGCTACGAGAGATGCAGCACCTCCTTGGTTCTTCAACCATGGACGAGACGTTACTTCGTGAACTATGGCTACAGCGGCTACCGGAAAACACGCAAGCGATTCTCTCTACCTTGAGCTCCGTTTCGCTCACTCAACTAGCAGATTTAGCGGATCGAGTTATCGAACGATCACAGCCACAAGCCGATGCCAGCAAGATCAAGGCCGTCGCGTCCCAGGGCACTTCTATCACTGGCTTACAGCCAACTATAGAAGCCCCGCAAACACAAGTTGCGACACTTAGTCGCCAAGTCCAACGGCCTACTATGAATCGTCGTCGTCATAGCCGCTCAAAATCGCCCTTCAAACCTTCTAAGTCTAGCAACAGTCAGGCTAGCTGTTGGTACCATCAGCGCTTTCGTACCGCAGATCATAAATGTGTAAAGCCTTGCAACTTCGCCGAGAAGTAGGGAAACTTCTCGGCCGGTCCGTAACGGCAACAGACACGACCGGCCAACACCAAAGTCGCCTCATCCGAGTTAGGGATTTAACTTCCGGCACCGAGTTTCTAGTTGACACAGGAGCGGAAATTAGCGCTATGCCCCGTAGCCCATTGAGGTCGTCTCACCATCGCCGACCAAGCTGCGTGCCGCCAATGGCACACCAATCGCAACTTTCGGCGAAAGGCTGCTAACGCTCAATCTAGGCCTCCGACGAACCTTTCACTGGCCTTTCCTAATCGCGTGCCGTGCCTTTCGCCATCATAGGTATAAACTTTCTTTAATGCTTCGACCACTTCGCCGATGCTAAAAGGAGGAACCTTATCGACTCCAGGACACAGCTCAATGTTATCGGGACTAGCGCCTACGTGGTTGCTATCACTCCCATTCGTGTCCTACCTCAAGCTTCACAACC